TAATGGTCTTTAGAGGCTTGTGGGAGTCAATAATTTGACTTCTGTAATACCTGAGAAAAACTCTTTTTTTCCCCTGCTCTCCAGATATTTCAGTTGGTAATGGGAAAAACTAGCTGGAGCTTATCCTTTAAATCTGTATATTTAAAACTGTAAGAATTGTTTCTTTTAGAGCCTTTTATAGGAAAACTTCAGACAGAATGAACCTCTTGTTTCCTTTTCCACAAAGGACCTTTTCCATAGCTGAAGTTCCCTGGCTTAGGGATTTGGAGGGGCTTTCAACACCTACAAGTGATATGTGGACACTGCATTAAGCCTGTATATATTTTTATTTTGTTATATCTATTTACTTATCCCTAATCTTCAATGCAGGAGCCAGAATAGACTTGTTCAGAAATCTGCCCACCATTTGGCCTGTGTCATCTGACATTCGTCCCCTGTTCAGCAGCAGGTGTCAGGTTTATGGTTGCACCACCCAGATGCTTCCGTGATCACCCACTCCATTGCTAGCTAAGCCCCGGGGTGGCTTTGGGCACGCTCGGTGCTACATGACTGAAGGTTACATATCATGCATATATAGATTGCAACTATGCACTCAGCTTACAGGGATAAATGTGCTTTTGTTCTGGACTCATTTCACGAATGTAAAATGCCAAGCTGGTTATGCAGTTGTGTCCCCGTTGAGTCGCTGTCTGTCATTAGTGGAGCTGTGGCTAGTGATGCATGGGCAGGCCAGTAATTTCTGGTACTCAAGAGCTGACCTTGGGATGGGAGGAGGGTAGGAATTAGTGTGTGGCATCTGCAATTGAGATACCATACTAGGAAAAAAGTGAGGAGCAGAGTTTCCAGTAGCTTGGCAGAGCTGTGTTGCCAGAGCACTTAGGTATACAGTCCCAGGCTGATACTTCTTTGGAGGGCCAAACTAATTTGCTATAGCCTTGAACTTAATATTTTCAGAAGAACATTGCGGGGAGAGATGTTATTGTGCTGCAGCAGTTTATTTCTTTTCTTTAACAAAATAACCACCCAGAGAGGCAGTATTGGCAGCAATCAGCTGAGTCATGGTCATTCTTTGTAATGATTAATTATTTGAAAATGAATTTTACATTTATGATGTATTTCTTTTCCTGCTGTTCATAACAACTAAGTGGTTGAACATTGTGAGTAATTCTGTCTAGCTCATGCTAGTGCAAGGGGAACAGCTGCTCTGTATTTTCAGTGTTCCAAACAATAGAAGAAAATTTGCATGAAGGAAAAATAGGTTTAATATCATAAACCCTCTGTACAAAAAAAAAGGAGAACTATTCATAGGGCCATGACATTTTTAAAGAGGTGCAGGAATATTTCAGGTGCTCTCACTTGAACCTGTTGGTGGATTTTTTGTGCTGGCCTGGGTGTGCCTTACGCCTTTGTGAACCCTGCAGGGCATGGAGGACGGGTTGTAATAGCCGTGGCAGTCCAGGACAGATACCACCAGTAGATGGGAATTGCGTTTGGGTTGGAGCTAGCGAAGTACTTCCTCCCCTCCTCTGAACCCTTCATAGCAAAGGGGCTGTGGACAGACTTGGTAACGTGTTTTCTTAGCCAGAAAGGTTCCTGAAATGCACTCAGTTTCAGGAAGCCTGTTGTGGTGTTGATTTTTGCTTAGCAGAGTGGGCAGGGTGAGACCTTTCCACATAGCAGTGTGCTCCTTTTAAACTGCAGCCCCTCTGAAAACCCACTGGGCAGGGTGAGATGAACAAAATGAATGTTCTTTAACCACCGGGTTAAAAGCAGTCTGTCCTCTTATCTGAGAGAAGTGCTTACCTCTCTTCACCGGCTGAGCTAAGCCTTTCATATTTGCAAAATGATTCAAGAATCTCACTTGGAAAGCTCTGTAGAAGTGTCAGATGTTATTATGTTCTTCGTTGTTCCAAGTGACAAGAAGAAAATTGCAGAAAGTAAGCCGTCATTTTTATGAATCAGAGTCCTCCCACTTCCTTTCCACCGCTTAGCAATTTTTATGCCAAAAAAAGGAAGGATTTTTTTAAATTCACAACTGTCATGAGTGATGATTCCCAGCCCACACCTGGCTTTTACATGCAATATTACATTTCTGAGGCCTGAGATACATCTCTCAGCTCCTGGCAAAAAAAAAAAAAAAATCAAAAAATGTAAAGTTGTCTGGGATTTAAACAAACAAAAACTTTCTGAAAACAGAAATGGTTTTAGAAAAAATGAAGACTACCAAAGAGTAAGGTGTTGCAATTTGCAAGCCAGTCTGAAAATATCACTTTTTTTCTTTGTAGTTTCTAGTGTGTGATTGCTCCAGATGTCAATTTAGATCAATCCACCTTTTTGCTATCAGCACAAGCTGTGGATATGAGAGCGAGTAACTAACTGTGCTTCACCTGCGGTATTGCCGCTCTGGTAGCCATTAAAATGGTAAATCATCTTAGCTCTGTAAATAGGGAGTGAATGGTGGCGTGTGCTCTCCCAGAGGAAAATATGGGAAATATATAAGCAGCTTCCTCTCCTTGTGGGATATACAGGGAGTGTAAAATTAGAGAGCTGAAGTAGACAGGGGGGCTATTCCTCCTCCTCCTCCTCTTCGTCCCGTGCCCGGTAGTCTCCATCCTGCACACAGTGAACAAGGAGGATGGCACATGCCCGCCGCCCGGCAGGTTTGAGCACAAATGCAGGAAAATCTGCTCAATCCTCCAGAGCCCCTCCGAATTATAAGCATTTTGTTCAGAGGTTGTGAGTTGATTTTCCAAGTTTACGCCAAACTTTACTAGAGAGAGCAAAATGCAGAAATGGGAAAAGCCAGTGCTGGGCCCCGCTACGCTGCCACGCCAGTGACTATCAGGTGTCTGGGCTTCATCTTCAGAGCAAAAGAGATTCTGGTTTTCAGTAATTAAAAAAATACATACATTTAACTCACCATCTTCTAGTTTGCTGTGTCTGGTCCTGCTTCAGGCAGAAGCTTGAAGCTTGGCACAATCCCAGGGGTTAGCAGGAGTTTGTAGAACTTCTGCAGTCACAAAACATTGCTTGCACATTACTGTATCTGTGCTTCTTCTTTAGAACGACAGAACTAGCAGCCCCCGTTGGTTCCCGGGCCGCGCTCTGCCAGGCCTTGCTGGGCCCCGCGGCTCCCGCTGCCGCCCTCGGGGAGGCCGAGCGGCCTGGGAGCAGCTCGTGGCAGGCAGCGGGAGCAGCACCCGCTCCTCTGAAACGTTAGCCCTTGTTTTCCACAGAGCTGGAATGGAGCAACGCCGTTGTACGGATGAGATTAATTCTGGCCCTCGGGGTGTGATCAGAGACAAAATCGTGAGAACAATTTTTCCAAAACCTGAAAACCGTAGCTCATTGCTGCTGTCTGCAAGCTCTTGAGTCTGGTTGCTACTGCCAGAGGGAGACTCTCTGTCATTCACAATTTTTTGCTTTGTCTTTGGATTATTTTTCTGACCAGCCAGGGCTTTGGGGCTGATTTCTCCCTCTTACAGCAACTTGACAGAGCTCTGATTCCAGCAGCTGCTCAGAGTATATGAAGGGCGTAACGGGCTCAGGAGTTGGGCCACTTGCCACTCCGCAGCGTCTCGGTTGGTGCGTTCCTGTGTGCAGCATATCTGAAAACGTCTAGACAACCATTTCTGCTCTGGTTTAGGATTCATAGCAAATGCATCTGCCTTGCAAATAATTAGAAGTTCTTTCAAAGAGATCCTTTGAAGTGAAACTACCTGTTCTTCTTAGGGAAAGTGGAATTAAGTTTCTTACTGAGGTGCAACAAGATTCAGCTGTGCTTGAGACTGATCATTCAGGTCCTGGAGGCAATTGGTCCTCATTGCTGCCAGGTTAGGCCAGGTCATCATGGCTCAAAACAGCCTAACTTGGTTATGTGCAGGTCTGCAAGAGCCTTGCTCCTGCGCAGCAAGGCAGGCGCTGTGCAGGAAAGGCCTCTTTGCAAATAGGAACACAACAGCAGCTTCGTTAGCAAAGAAAATGAGTGGCTTCTGCTAAGACTTTTTTAATAGGTTGAACTCTTTGGATTTGGCTGGAAGAGCTGGTCCTTGGATATGTTTTCAATACAGCAGAGCTAAGTGCAGCTGTACCATGTTCCTTTCACCCATTAACTGTTGCGCAGAATCAAGCTGATGTAATTTTTTTGATCTTAAAATATTCAATAGCCAAAGATTGCTGATGTAATTACTCCCTCTCTACTCCTGATTACAGAAAATCCCTATAGGGTTTGTCCCATTTTGCTGCCTCTCGTCAGGCTGCAGAGCAGGCAACAGTCAACATATTAATAGGTCTTTTTAACATGATTAATTGGATTTTTAAGTGGGTCCGTTTCTTCTAAAATTTCCTGCTCGCCGAGGTCAACTTGCATTTGCAACTGTCCATCTGCGATTCTTCATTTTGGTGGGATCATCTAAAACCCTTTTCTCATTTGGTAAACACTTGTGATTTTCCACATAGGAGCCTGTTTGATTCCTCTGTGTTATTTGCTGCCTGCCTGTGCAGCCCTATCATCAAATTGCTTCTGCGCGTTACGGTGCAAAGAGCCGCTGAGCAGAGCAGATCCTTTACTGACCACCTGCTCTGCAGGCGAGTCAGCTGCTCCAGACGGCTCCCGAGTCGACTCTGCAGATGGACCAGTCGTGTTGCCTGTTTGGGTAGTTGTGTTTGTTTTATTTTTAATACTGTCCTAAGGTGAAATATTTTTCATGGTTTGTCAAACAAGATTATGAAGTTGACTGTAAAACTATGACTCATCTCAGCATTCTTTTTTCACATGAAGAATGATCCGGGAGGAAAGTGAAAATGAAAATGTCAGAACTGTCATAAATAATGTGAAAATGACAGCCAGGAGGAGAGGTCTCGCAGACCCTGTTTCTATCCACAGCCAGAGAAAGGAAATCAGTCTTGGAAAGCTGGGTCTGAGGCTGATGCAAAGTTTTATCAAGCTGTGTACATCATCTAGGCCCCTTGTCCAAAATATCTCATTTTTGACCTCTAATTTGGTGGAATGGATATTCTCATTCATAGCTGTTTAGCTAGGAGTTAAGCATCTGAGCTTATAGTTCATATTCTTAGCTAATTCTATGAAAAAAATTCATCTCCTTTGTATTTTATTTCTTTAAGCAATGCTATATCCAGAGTATAATTAAACTGATAATTTTTTGTTCTTTGTTTTGTCAGGAAACCACCTTTAAAGATTTTATGGTATGGTGTTTGCTTGGTTGATTTGGTTTGTTTTTTTCCTGTGTGTGTCAAAAAAAAAAAAAGTATGATGGAGCAGCAGTAAAAATTAAATGCCTGGTATTTTTTGTGTATAATGCTGTTGATAAGTCTCCTCTGCCACACTTGATAGCAGTGTGGGGACACCGAATTGTTTCGGCGGTTGCAAACAGTGATTTCGAGGACATGCTCATCTATTAGCTTCGCAGCAGACATAGCAGTCAGAAGCCCCAGAAACCTTCAGTTTAATAGCAGCGTCTACTGCAAAGTGTAGAAGGAAACAAGTGAAAACAAACTGTTCTTCTGTCATTTTTCTCTTTTAAGGAGGAGAGTCTTACTGGGGAAAACCTTTTAAGGATGAATTTAAGCCCAACTTGTCCCATACAGGACGTGGTGTTCTCAGTATGGCCAACTCAGGACCTAACACAAACAAGTCACAGTTGTAAGTAGTCACTTGCTTTTTGTATTTTATCGTTTCCCTCTAGACATTGTGTCTTACACTGTTAAGAATAAAATGACATTTTATGAGCTACTCTTTAAAGTTCAGTCAAGTGAATATTCTGTCAAGTGCTGCATATTGAAATCTGCGTAGCTGCAGCTGCTCTTTCCCACTAAGAGCCACATGAAATGTGTCAAGACCACCTGTATATTTATCACATCATCATTAATCTGCCTTTTCTGGTTTTGTAATTTGTGGGTTTTTTCCTTTTTTCCCAGTGTCTCCTTACTGTTGTTATAATGAATTTACTACACCTATCCATTCTGTGTAAATTTAGCCATATATTGAAATTTTCAAAAAGCTTGATGAAGTAAAACATAAACTCTCTACAGATGTTACTTCTTTCAGTTGTCCATTTTTAAGTAAAAAGAACAGCTCTGGATTGTTCAAAGTGCATAGTCTAAGTAAAAGAGTGCAGGGCATGGGATTGAAAATGACTTGTGTACAAAAGCAGAATTCTCATGTAAGAATTTTTCTCAAAGGAGAAAAAATAACAGAGTAAAGAAGTGGAAAGAACAACAAATGAAATATTTTAAATATTTCTTTTAAATAGTCTTGTAGTATTAATTTGCTTCATGTGTAATTTTAATGCAGATATGTGTCTGCTTTTTAAAGTGTTCTGTGTCAACTGAACCATTTATTGGTTGCTTTCTAATTACTGAAGGAAAAAAATGTTTGTTTTTATCAGTGGCCCTAGGAGAGGGTCTGGATGGGGAGCACACTGCAGCGTGTCAGGACTGGAGGGCAAGGAAGGGGATTTGGGCTTGGCTTTCCAAGGGCCTGAGATTTATTATAGCTTGGGAATGATGCAGTGCCAGTCTAAGGGTCTTTACCAGGCTTACACACGTGTGTTGGGCAGGGTGCAGAATTTAGTTGCTGTGGGGCTTATTTTAGGCGTGGATTTTGTTGCAGGTGCTCACATGCTAAGTAGTAGGAAAGACATCGTTGGCATCATCACAGACCTGGTCACCTATCTCCCTAGAATTTGTAGATGAATGTAAAATTCCTTTATACATGAAGTCTTTGAGAGACTCTAGCTCCCATAATTATAAAACTTCCTAGGCAATGTTTAAAAACCTTGACAATTGTTGTGACCTGAGGAACAAAGGAATTAGGTTAATTCCATTGGCCTTGTTTTGTTTTGATTGCTTTGATGGCTCAATTTTTTTTAATTACAATATTGCCTAATTGATCATTTGATAATCTAATTACTGGATATCTGGGAATAAACTGGTGCATCAAGCACATGCCCCGGACTAAGATTTGTCGTATGGCCTGTGTAGGAGTTCGCATTCTCTGCAGTGTCTCAAAGCTTTTCCTAGGGCAAGCTGCATCTAATAGATTGTCTGGCAAATTGCAGCCCCTCCTATTTGCAATCATATAACTTCCCGAGGCAGTTGCTTATATGGAAAAGTGCTTCTGGAATGTTTATATATTTTTAGCTGTCTCTAATGTAGCGTAGCAGATGGAGACGGGGAGGAGAGCCAGCACCAGCCGTCCAGCCAGCCCGGACCATCACCGTCTGCAAACCGCAGTGTGGAAACCTCTGCCTCATCCTCTCGCAGCCTTCCAAAGAAGTGCTAAGCTTTAGAGAGGAGTTTTAGTAGTGAGCGTTGGTTTGGATTTGGTATTTTAGTTACCATGTGTAGGTTTAAAAATAAAACTAGAATCTATTAAAAGTCCAAGTTTCTCAGTTTGTTTTTTTTTCCAATTTCTAACACTTCTGTCATGTTTATTACTGAAGCACAAATTTGCTGGATCCAGACAGAAATGGATTCTGGGTGTGTCAATGTAATGGAAACAATGCAGAAAGTGAAGATCCTCAGAACCAAAGCTGGCCCTGGCAGGGGGTTGTTGCATTGTGTAGCTGTGACTGCTGGGTGCAAAATCCGCAGCGGGTACGAGAGGCAGCCGGGTCTCACAGCCCTGCGGTGAGCAGGAGTGCTGGGGTCTGGGGGATGTTAGTGAGGTGTGAGAATAAGAAGCCCAAACTCCAGAGATCCAGGGTGGAATCCACCCAAGAGCTGCTGAGAGCTGCCTGGTCTGCAGCCCTCGCGCAGGGGAGAGGGGCCGGTCTCCTCGCAGGGGCTGCTCTCTGTTTCTCGGCTCAGCCTTGGGGAGATAAGATGCTCATTGTTGTGTCTCTTCCTTGCAGTTTCATCACCTTCCGTTCCTGTGCGTATCTGGACAAGAAGCATACGGTGTTTGGAAGGTAAGTGAGGGGTCATCTCAAACCAAAGTCCTTGTTGTGCTGGTTGGCTATTTTGCTTGGTCAATACATGCCAACCTCTTACTGGTGTCGTCAGACTCTGCTTTTTGTCTCTTTCCATCCTCCCATCTCTGCAAAGGGCCTTATTATTAATTAAGTGTTATCCTTCTGTATGTGACTCTCTGGGGAGTCGGGAACAAAGTAATGAGCATCCTGTAACCAATCATCTTGATATTTGTGCATGCTAATTGCTGAGATCCGAGCGATTACTTCTCCAACACTGCTTTCATCCTTGTAGGAACTGTCAACCAATGAGTCAGTCATGACTGGGCTGCTCTTCATCGCAGGGTAGAGCATGGAGCTTTTGCATAGTTTAGGTCTTTCGGCCCCTTTGCTTCTTTATCTTTGGCACGTATCATGGTACGTGTTTGTGGGTATGTAGGTGTGTGTGTATGTCCACATACGCACTCAGAAATCTTAGCAATGCCAAGGCATGTCCAATGGGACATCATTCTTTATAGCAACTGTTGCAGTAGTCCCCAAAGCCTTTTCCACTCAAGCCCTCACGTGATAAGGATCAGGGTATATATTACAGACTATATTACAAAATATTTATATTGTAGAGAGAAGAATGTACTTGTTTGCTGTTTGCATCTCCTGCTGCAGATGCAAGTCCTGGTTATAGTATTTACTAAGTGGTCAGTAGATGTTCAAGCAAATGCCTTGCTGTGGGGACGGGAGCTGTGGTTTTCACTAGCCTGCTGTGTTGGGGTTTCCCAAGGTTTTCACAATTATTTTTAAATGATTACTTTTAAATTTCCCTAATTTTATCCATTCAAAAAGCAGCAATTGAGAAGTGCATCCGCCATTTACTTTGATTGGGTGTTATACAATAGGGCTGTGCAAAGAAAGTGATATATTTAATCCTTCTGTTCTGACTGCAAGTTCTTGAGGCGCAAGTTGGCTTCATTTTAAACACCTATAATAGTGCCATTAGCTCTGATACTGACTCTGCAGTAATTGCTCCCTTTGAATTATGTTTCTTTTTTCTTTCTCAAGTCTGTCCTAGCAAAATTGAAAATTCCATTGTCATCTGGTGAAAGGAGTATATAAAGCACATTCTAATACTTAAAGTTGTGAGTGAGAGTTACCTTGCTGGTATCTTAGGAGTTGTCTTTGTTGCAATTTCACTCTCAACTCAAGCTACAAATTGAGTCTCCTTGCAAAAATCCCGTTAAATCCAATGTGGTAATGCTGTTAACCTGAGCTTCCACCTCATCAGCTAGTATTTGGATTAAGATAGCTCAGCTGAAAGAAGGCCGGTTCTTGGGTTCGGGATGCAGCCTGGCTTCACCGGGCAGCCCAAGTGTCCCGCAGCTCTCCCACCGTTCACCAGCACGGAGCAGCAGAGCTCCCTGCAGCGCAGGCAACGCGCGCCAGGAGCCTTCGCGCCCTGCAGGACATCCCAAGCGCTGAACTTCGTTGCCGTAAGGAATTGGTGCTCTCAGAGAACTGGAAATTGTTCGTAGTTAAAGTTGTTGTCTTAGAACCATGTTTGGCTCCCTGTGTGAAAAAGTAGCATCTTCGTAAACACAAAGTGAATTTTACCCTGAGCTTTCTTGCATGTAAAAAGATTAATTCAAAGAATGTAGCAAATGACAGTGCCAGAATAGGTGCATTCCTGTCTTTCCATGCTTATCTTCAAGCTGAATACATGAATAATCTAATTTACCTACACAGTTAATATAGGCGCCCAATGTATGCAGATCTTATGATTTGTGTTCTGCAATGAAAATCCTGTTGCTCTTTTTACCTTTATTTGTTCCCATAGGCCATAAAAACCAAAGGACTCGAGATTATTTCTTTAGTAAAAGTCCAGCTTCAGTTTGCTATTTTAGATCCTGGGTGTTTCCAGGATTTAGTACCTGTATCTGATCTTAGACTGCACAGTACAATAATATCTGGGAAGCATATCTAGGAATAATATCTAGGGTTAAGAATAGAATGAGCCCATGAAATCAGAATTATTTTTTCCGTGAATGTTATATTGGATTGTGTTGATTGGATGATTACTGGCCTGTTGTGACTTTCAGATCGATTGGATCTTCTCTCAGTTAATATAAAAGCCAAATCTTCCCTATGAGCTCAGCTCTGCCCTCAGCTATTTCTGTGCAGCTCTGGTTCATGTTAGTGTGTTTGACATGCGTGTCTTGGAGAGCGGAATTTGACCTGTTTGTAATCTTTACAGTGCTTTTCCAAGGGCTTTTCATACTTTAGAGAGAACAGAAAAGGGGCAAAATTCTCACAGTTTCTTTTTTTTTTCTTTTTTTTTCTTTTTTTTTTTTTTGGTCCCATGTGGGATAGGGCATTGAAAAGTTTCCCCTTCTCAAGAATTGCATTTTACTCGTGTCCCCACTGGTTTGAAATTCAGCTTTCGAATGGTGGTTGTCAGTACGTGTTGGACTGTCGGGTATGTTTGAAAACCAGAGCAGCTGAAGGCAGCAGGGCTGGGGAGAGGTGCCCTGTCCCTGGCTTTGGGCAGAGGAATTTTTAGGCCTTGGGAGAAGCCATGAGCTGCAGGACAGGGAGGGGATCGCATTGTGACCAGGGCAGCGATGCTGACAGACGTTACTGAAGCCAAAGCATAACCCGGGCACGGGGAGGCTGAAGCAGTGAGGGAGGATGGATTTTGCTTTCCCCCGGAGGCGCTGCCTGGCTTCCCTGCACCAGCGGAGCTGCCTCGATTAACTTAGTAATTACCCTTTCTAGTAATTACCATTTCTCCTGACTTAGAGAATGCTGTAATTACCGTGAAAACTAACTGGAGACTTTTGTTGGTTTCTAGCTGCCTGGTAAGAGGTTTAATTTAGAAACCCAAATAATGTAAAGCAACTGGTGCTTGCTGTGCGCCGCGTGGAGACGTCGGCAAGCGGCTGCTGCAGGGACGGTCCTGCCCTCCTGGGCATGCAGCACTGGGAGCTGGAGCCACGGGACAGCCCAAAGAGCCGCTTCAGGCTAACGTTACTGCCTGCCACTGCCACACTCTATGAAATCTAGATACAAGCACATCCTGTCTGTGTTCTTACTATGTTTTCCATGACTCTCGTGGCTCATAGTGCCTGTGGGTCAGAGATATGGTACGTTTGGCCCTATAAAGGTGGAAACAAAGATAGTTCCTGCCCCAGAAAAGTCACTGTATAAGTAGAAAAGAACCCATATACAGATGCAGGGAAGTTAACAGTAGTGATCCCTCTCAGCCTCCCTTCCACCTGACAGCTTGTGCTTCCTTGAGAGTCAAGGAAAAAGAAATCTTCATGGAAAATGAAATGGCTTTGTGGATGCGTTGGGGAGTTAAAGGGATACGTGGAGACCTGCATATTTAAAATCATCCTGAAAGGTCCTGATCAGCAGGAAGGCAGACCTTGGTGGGCCTGCAGGGGAAGGCAGCTTGCAGGTGTGTGGAGGGATGGATCAGGGATACATCAGGAGGGAGCAGTGGTGTGGGCAGGGTTGCAAGGCTGGTAGCAGTCGGGGCAGCAGCTCCGTGCGTTTATTGGAGCAGCACTTGTGTTTGCCGAGGCCTGAGAAAGAGACGTGGTGACGGAGGCAGGAGATGAGGGCCTGGAGGACAGTTTCTCGCTTCGTACACAGCTGCCTGTGCCTGTCCCGCACGGGTCTTTAGCTCTCTGGGGACTTGTGCCACTCGTTCCTCGCTCTGAGTTTCCCAGGAATAGTGAAGGCGGCGCTCGGGAAATCCCGGGCTGGGCCCACGTGGAGGCTGTGCCTGTAGCTGCCGTGCAGGCAGCCTCGACGTCCCCTTTGCACCCTCCTCCCCTGCCAGATGCTCTTGTGGGAGACTGTTGTTTCTGGGGGGATAAACCTCATTCTGTATGAAATGTGTCCCAGCCGCCGCTTCAGGTTCTGTGCTGCAGTTCCATGGGACAGAGCAATGAAAGTAACTGTTGTCCTTTAAAGTGATTAGCTGCTTATAACTATTGCCATGTATTATTCAGCTACCCAGATGTAGTTAAATAATGCATGGTGTCTGTTTCCATTTGTAACACTTGCTGTCTCCTTTGAGTTAGTGAAACCTCGCTGCCTTCTAAGCTGGGAAACTCATGTTTTTGTTGCTCTTTTGCTTTAGTACATCTGAAGAACAGAGAAATGATGTGACAGGGAAAGAAGAGCTGATTTTATTGCTGAATCTGTTTAGGGAGCCTGATGCAATGTTGCTGTGCAGAGTCTGCTCCGCCGGCAGCAGGGCAGGAGGGAAGAGCCAGGGGGAAAGTGAGGGGACCCCATGGACCCCAGCGCAGCCGGAGCCGGGCCGATGGCTGCAGCCTTTTCCAAGGCAGTTGTGGGAGCTGGAAAGAGGAACCCAGTGCCCAAGTGGAGAAATCCCAGTGCGCCGAGTTCATTTGTTGAGTCTAGTATCCAGATCCTGCGTTTCCAAGTTCTGTTTTTCCAGTGGCCCCCATTACTTATCTTACCTTCTCCATTAAGCCCTGGTGTGATACTGAGGTGTTTTGACTGCATCAGTGTTGCAGGTCAGAAATGTTTGCTGTGTTTCAGAGTGGCTGTATTCATAGGAAACATGTTGTACCAAGTGAGTGTATGTGTGTGTGCATACTGGCACATTGTTGTGTATGTGTGTGCATAAATACATGTACTCTTTTTATAAAAGTAAGCTTGACAGCAGAATGTATTTACAAAACAAAGTTTCCCTCTGGTTTCTGTTTCTAGATTAATGCATTTATTTCAAAAAGTCCAGACATTGTTCTTGTATTGTCTGCTAGCCAGGAAACTCTATCATCCTGGACCACTGCCATCATCAGCATTGCATAAGGCTTAATTCTTATAGTTCTTCTAAACAAAAGCATGAGAAATAGGAAGTCCATGTGTGAATGTATGGGAGACTTCGAAGGAGTCACAGTTATTTGGGGATCAGAACTAACTAAAGTAGCAGTGCAGATTTGCCTGGCGTGCTGCAAATGAATAGAGCT